CTCTTTTTCCCTTCTTTTTTTTTTTCTTTTTTTTTGGAGGGGGGAGTGTTATGGGAACAAGTCAAGGAAAATAATCCTGTCCAATTCAGAACTCTTAAACCAACCTCAGAGGTACTATTCAGAACTTCAGAGCACAGTTAAATGAAAGAATATTTAAATCCTGAAAGCAAACACAACATGGATTTACCAAAGGCAGGTTACAAAAACTAATTTAATATCTTTATTTGATTTAAAAGAAAATCATTCTTGGGACAGAGGAAGTGTAGCGGTCCCGCCTGTCAGAAGTTCAGGTAAGCATGCAATCCTGTGAGATATTATCATTAGTTCAGCTTCAGAAGCCAGGGTTTGGTGCAACACCTGTACATGAATAGTGTCTGTAAGAGAGAGCACAAAAAGCAGCACTGAATGGACAGCTGGGAGTTCCTCTGCAGGAGGTCATGTTTAGTGTTTGCTTTAATGATTTTTGGCACAGAAGGCAATGGTGTGCAAGTGGAATTTGTGATGAGACAAAGCCAGGTGTGGTCAATACAAGGGAGGATCAAAATACCATCCAGGAAGGCCATGAGCACCTTGAGAACAGGAGTGAATTGGGTGGCATGAAACCTAAGATTATGAATGGAAAGTCATGCTTTTTGGGGCAATAACAGACATTTTGACTCTAATCTGGGATAGCATTATTTGGCAATGGCAGAGGAGGAAAGTGCTTAGATAGGTACAAATAAATCACTGAATAATTCAGGCTGCCAGACTGTTACTGGGGGGAAAAAGAAGACAAATGCAGCTCTGGAAAGACTAGAGGAAAGGACTTCTTGTTGAGTGAGGGAATTGCCTCTGCATGAGGCACTGATGAGCCTTTTTTCCTAGCTCATGAGAAGTAAATCTGGAATAAATAGGGGCAGAGGGAGCTACTATAATTCTGTGAGATTTCCCAGTTTTCATGGTGTAAATGAACAGCTTGTTTTGGTAGAAGAAAGGCGTTCCTTGTTTAACTTGGTAAAATGAAGACTAAAAAGAGATACAGTTTCTCTCTCTGTGAGTGTAGTAAGAGTAAGCAGGAGCAAAAACAGCTGTTAGAAATTTAAAGTTGATGTAAGAATGACTGGGCATAAAGGAGCTGTGAGTAAATCCCCTAAAGACAAGAAGATGAGGGTGCCCAGCCATCCCTTTTGTTTCAGTATGTGCGGATCCCCAGCAGTTTCAAGCACAGTGGGGCAGTCTGATGATGAAAATTAAGCAGCTCTAGAGACAAGGCAGTGAAGGTTAAAGACAAAGATAAATTAGCACTGGTGGAGACTGGAAACCGACTGTTGCCAGTGAAGTAGCACTTCTTGCTCTGCTCTGGTTTCTGTGCAGGTTTTTGTGGAGAAGTGCTGCTGACATGCAGAAATACAGAGATGTAACAGAACTGAGAAAACTCCTTCTCTACAACTTGCTGTTTTTCTTGAATGCATTCCTCATTGACTCACTCTCTCTAATTTAGTGTTCCTGTATTTAAATTGCAGCATGCTTGATAAGACTAATGTGGTCTGAAGCTGAGGCATTCTCCGACTGTAATTGATTACAGACAGGGAGCTTACCTTCCTCCTGGGTTTGTCTCTGAAACATTTGCTTAGGCTTAAAATATTCTACTTGGCTTTTCTTGAAGCGACAGATGATGTTTTGTGCTTCTTTGTGGAATTGTCAAGATAAAAAGGATAGGTGGTTTGGGGCTGCTGCATTTGCATAACCCTGAAAGGTGGCTTTAACTGATGATAAATTTTCATCTAATAACTGTGACCAAGCACTCAGAGAGCCACTGCCACCTCCCTGGGATAAACAGCCATAACAGCACTGGCAGAATAACTCTGCTCCCTCTGCTTTGCTCTCCACTGGAAAAAGGAAATGTCCACTACTCAGAGACAGACCCAAAGCACAGGAAATCCCAGCCTGATCCCTGGAGAACAAGAAGGGGTCTGGAGCCTCCTGGGATGTTCCTGTTGTAACTCTCAAAGTTCATTGCTCCAACCATGGGCTCAGGCAAGCAGCCTGTTTGATTCCACAAGTGGAAGCTGCATTGGATGTGAGCAGCAGAGGAGAGAGGGCAGAGCCAGTCTGCCAGGTTGTAGCAGCGGTGGCGATGTGCAGGGACAGGAAGGTGGAGGTGACAGTAAATGCTCCAAACTGCTCCATCACTGTCTTTGAGGTGCAGATTGACAAGAAAAGAGCTGGAGTTTTCTGCTGGCAGTGTTTGCTATTTAAGGTGTATACCCATGGTTCTATTTGAGGTGTATACACCCTGAAACCTTCTGGGGTTTAGGGTGTATTTTGTTGCCTTTTCCTGTCAGAGCAGTGGGACTGAGGTGTCTGCTTTCCTGTCAGTTTTGAGAAAACTGCTCTGGTTCTTGTCCCCACTGCTGGTGCTGGAATGCAGCTTCCTCAGTCTGATCAGCTCAGTCTGTCAGTGGGATGAGTGAGTCCCTCTGGGTAATCAGTAACCGGAGCTGGTGTTGGAGACATGCCTCATCCCTCCTGCCCGTGCTGCTCATGGGGGAGCAGCACTGCACTGAGTGCCCTGACAGTGCTCTTTGGGAGGGATGAAAGCATGTTCTCACAAGAGAACCTCTTCCTCTGTGGGCTTACATTAGCCACAAAACATTAGAGAGTACTGATGTGGACATCACTAAATCCATGGATCAGGTGGGAGGCTGAATGGCCTTTTGTGTGACTGCTTGTAAAAAGGAGTTAGTGGCAGTGCCTGGGGTGTAAAGCAGCCTGGGTGCTGAACAACCACAGGTTGGTACGTGTTGCCAGCAATTTTGCAGTGAGTGCTGGAGCCAGACCTAGCTGTAATGTGAGAGACTGCAATTGTGTCACCCAAAGTTTTGTTATCTACCTACTGAACTTAAATTCCTGCTCCACTTGTACTTTTCACAAAGCAGATTTCCTCCTGCCATCAGATAAGGCACTTGCACATGGCCTGAGGTGGCATTTTAGGTGGTTGGAGTTTGCCTACAAGTGGCTGTTCCCCAGTTCATCTTACAAAAACACAAACACGAACGGTTGTCCTGGCCAAAACCAGTTGGCTTCTCAGACTGTGTGATGAGGCTGAAAGGCATGGAGGAGGGCTCAGATTGTGTTATGAGGTATCAGGCTCCTGGTGCTCCAGGCAGGTTTCAACAACCATCCCAGCCAGATGCAAGTGAATGCACTGAGCCGTGGTGTCCCAGCGTGGCCTCTGTGCCTGCAGGCAGTGCTGCTGCCTGTGGGCAGGAGCTCACCCACACACTGAGGCTGAGCCTTCCCAGCAAGGGCTGTGCTGGCACAAGTGACACTGCTGTATGGCAGGGGCCAAGCCCAGGGCCCCCAGCTGACATGTCACATGTGGAACTGTTTCCAGCACATTGAGGGATTCTGGCTCTCTGGCTCCAGCACTCAGCCCTGCTCTCCCAGCTCTCTCTGTGCCACCATCGTTCCCACTGCTGCTTTCTGGAACTGATGCTTTTTTCCTTTTACAAGCCTTTGTAACCCTTATTCCCAGTGCCATTTGTCAGTTTCTGTTTTTACATTAGCTGAAGCCATGCACTGAGTTGTTTCAGGGCAGTACCTTTTCAGTTTAGAGATAGGGCCTTATGCATTTCCAGAGTCCCAAAGAGCACCAACACAGTTGTCCATGTGTGGTCCTGTTCCCTGTAGTGGTGTAGCCTTTCCAGTGCTCAGGTAACAGAGTCACTGGAAGCAGAGGAAGTCAAAGACCTCTTTTACCTGCCTGAAGTTTCTTTAGCAGCTTTAACTGTTGTCATTCCTGTGCACTGAGGGGATGGAAGTGGCTTGTAAAGGTGCAGTAGCAGCAAGAAAGTTATTTCCAAAGCGTGCTGGAGATCTAGAGAGGGACCTTGAATCTCTTGTCAGCCCACTGTGTGCATGTCATGCCTGGGGCTGTCAGTGCCACACAGCAGTCATGGCTGAGAGCTGCTTGTCCCAGACAGGACAGGGCAGGATAAGCAGGATGACAGGAGAGCCACATGCACACTGTGCATGATGGATACAACCAGTGCCTTGCAGGCAGGTGCCCATGGTTTGGAAGTGGGTAAACTGGATTTCGATACCTATGACAGAGTACCCTCAGTGGGCTCATGGGGCTGATGCTCTGTTGGTTTGAGGCCATTTCAAGGAGGCTCCTGTAGAGTGATTTTGTCATGGTCCAGATTGTATTTAGAGCTCAGATTACCTGCTGACCAGAGCACTGTGTCAAAATCATGTAAGGAATTCTTGTCCTGTTGGGAGATTTTGGGGAAAGTCGCTTTTTCCTCTTCTGCCTTGGGCTGCAGGGTGTGACAAACCACTTCCTGCTTTCATTAAGTGCTTCAATAGTCCCAGCAGAGGTGAGTGATGGCAGATGCTGTGATCCCAGCTCAAGCCTGCTGCAAGGAACACATCTGGGAGGGCTGACACCAGCTATGGCAATCACTGCTCTGAAGTGCCTGCTGTGAGATGTGGCCGTTTCACCCTTCACATTGTATTAGTGTAACCTTTAGCATGTGATTTCCTCTTGACAGAGCTAGGAGAAGCAAGAGCTGGCTTTGATGGGGGTGGTCTTGGGGTGTTTCAGCTGCATGCACCCCCATGCACCGCCATGGCCTGGCAGGGTGCTGTGTGTGATGGGTACATGTCCTGCCATTGTGTCCTCTGCCAGCTCTGTTCCCTGGCATAGACCATCACCAGTGCTGTGCACTCCTGTGTGCAGTAGTTTGTGAGGGCATGTCTGCCCAAGGGGCCTGGACTGCCCAGATCTCACCATGCCAAAAAACATCCCCTAGCCCACAGGGAAACTTTCTACCTTAGGTACACAGGTCTGACCCTGCTGACTGTGTCAGCCTTACATAAAAGAAGGTCCTTGGTGTGCAAGGGATGTTCTGATCTACAACAGGATCTGTGTCCTTGCCAGTCTCCCAAGCATGAGGGACAGGAGCATGCTTGGCCAAGGTAGTTGCTGACCTTCTGTCTCTCTCATTTTCTTCCAGTCCTGGACGCACAACATCCAGCGGGAGAAGGAATTTCTGAGAAAGCTGGTGAAAGCCAGAGTCATCACTGACCTAACCAGTGGGATTTGAGTGGCTGCAGCCACTGCATCCAAGGGAGGAGAAGAAGACATGCTGCAGCTCTGGGAGCAGGCACTGGCAGCCCCCTGCAAGAATCCCACCTCACTGAAGACACACAGAGATGCCCAGGTGCTCTGGGAAGACCCTCTTGCATTGCCAGTCTGCACGAGGGTTACATCTCCCACCTCCAGGCCTAGAGCTGGCAGGAGGTGGGCAAGGGGCTGAGTGGACAGTTCTTGAACTCTGCATCGCAGACAGATCTTCTGCATCCTGAATTAGACAGGAAAGACTCAGGAGAGAGAAGAAAGGTTTGTGAATACAATGATTAGTGCCAAATGGGAGGTGATGCTGCCCCAAGGCAGCAAAGCCTGAATGTACAAAGTATTATTTTTTAAAAGACTCTGCTGGAACCATACTAGAAATACCAAGGTACAAGACAAAGTCTGCTTGCGCACAGCCCTGTGAAAAACCTGGCCTCTTCATGCTCCATCTGCATTGTCACCAGCCTCTGACCTTTCCCCAGGAAAACAAATCCATCCAAAACTTCGGTGTCATTGGTGCTGCTACGATTCAAAGGGAGAATAATGGCTTCCTCTCATTCTCCACTTGGAGCTTCTGGATGGAGATGAGCATGGGTTTGTTTTTCTGCATTTTTCCTCACATCCTCCACAGAGGCAGCAACAGCAGCCACTGACTTGGCTGTGTTTTCCATAGCCATTTGCTCTGCCTCTGCCCTGACCCCAAGGTGGAGCAGGGAGCCAGTGGCTTTCTCTGCCTACAGCAGACCCTCCCCACCTTCCTGCCTGTCACGATGCAGAGGAGCCTGCCCCGTTGTGCTGAAGGCTTTCAGGCCTCTTGGTTTGTGCCTGCTGTGCAGGGCCCCTGAAGAGTCCGTGCAGACTTGTGTCACTGTTTCTGGACAGCATCTCGCTTTGGTTTTGTGTGGGAGGGGAGTAATTTATTCTTTGGAAGGAGGTCAGATCTTGAGCAGAGATCTCAAGCTTTACAGTTTGAGAGCAGACTGCGGAAGATGTTTGTTTTACGTTCCAGACTCAATCATGTTCCCTATTTAAGTGACGTGTGACCTCAATGATGATGGAACCTGATGGGAACTCTCACCCTCTGCTCGGCCCCTGCTCACTCCATTTCCAAGCTCCTCCTGTGCTGCTCTAGCACTGCTGCTCCTCCTGCTCTCAGGAGCACGTCCTTCCTTTGCCCTCTTGGTCCCAAGATGCACTATTTGCACATTTGATTTGTATACGTATTTCAGAGGAGCTGGAATAAACTGATCAACATGGCCAAGTGCGAGGGCAGCAGGGTGGTCTCATCCACCTGAAGAGCGTGGGCAGAAGGGAGGTTGCCAAGGGAATGAGCAGTTCCATGTGGAAAGTGGCTCCTGTGCTCTCCTGGCCTGGAGCAGGCTGGAGTGCACCCACAGGCACTGTCCCAGTACCTGGGTGTCAAGGCACTGGCACACAGCCAGCCGGTGCTGGGGTGAGTGGAGGGGGATCCCAGAGGGATGTGGGTTGGGCTCATGGTCCTGACACTGTGTCTGTCATGGCCCAAGGATTGCAGTCTGCCTTGCTCTGGAGTGAAGGGAGCATGACCCTGGCATGGGCAAGGAATGCTCAGAGCAGGGCTCCCCTAGACCAGCTCTGCACCTGCTGATTGCAGGGATTGTGGCTTTGGACCTGAGACCCCCAAAGGGGTGTGCAGGGTGGGCAGGCAGTGACCCAGGTGTGGGGCAGACCAGCAAACAGTACAGAATGGTTTGAGACCAGGCTGCAGGCAGAGGCAGCTCCCAGGACATGGCACTGAGTGCTGCTTACAGATATTGGTGTGGGATGCCTCCCTCAGGAGCCTCTCCTGCCTGCTGTGCCTGTAGCCAAGGAGCTTGCTCAAGGGAAAGTCCTGCCCAGCTTCTTGTTGTGGCTGCTGTTTCCCTTGTCATCTGGGAGCAGCTCAAAGTTCCTACTGCTTCTGGGCTGCAGAAGGCATGCTGGGAGGCTCTCCTTCCCTTTACCCTTCCCATGTCCCATCCCCACTGCTCTGGCCTCCCAGGGACATGCCTCCTTTCAGGATGCTCTGTGAGGTTTGCAGCAGGTTTTTGAGCATATGCCGTGGCAGATATTCCTTTTAAGTATCTCCCAATTTGTTTATCCTTCTTGAGGACTCCATGGGACTGAATTCCCATGGTTCTCACCAGGCAACCCTCCCTTTGCAGCAGTTCCTGGGTGTCAGCCTGGACTTGGGACCATCTTCTGTTGAGTCCCAGCCATGCTGGCAGGGGGAGTGCTTGGTCTGGGTCTGGCTGAGGCTGTGGCTGGGGAAGGGTTGACACCCACTCTCTCAGTCTTGGTGCTTTAACCAGCTGCCATGAGAGCCTTAGGGCTGCATCCATGGGCTGCAGTGAGCTGAGATGGCAGAGTGGGCAGCTGCATCTGGAAGGAGGAGGGAAGAGCCTTTGGTGTCTCTGCTGGGACCCCCACAGAGGATTGTTCAATTGCTTTATTGAACACTACAAAGCTCCAGGGCACTTTTATCTTCCAACTCACTGGCTCAAGGACACAGGTCCAAGGACACAGCATGGCCACTGCTCAGCCTTCCCTGTCATCCCAGCTCTCCATCACAGCCATGAACAGGTCCTGATGGGAAGTTGACCCTACAGACCAGGGAGGTGACTCAAAGCCCTTCTGCCCACCTTGACAAAGGTCTCCAGGCAGAAGAGTCCAAGTGGAATAGATGAGTGCAAGGTCCAGAGTGACTGTGGTGGGTCAGGACCACCTGCATGCAGAAGGAAAGAGCGTTTTGGGGACCAAGACTCTCCTCTGGCTCACTGACACCACAGAGCAGCCCATGGCCAGGTGATGGGGCTCCAGCTCCAGGAGCAGTGCACGGCACTGGGTTTTGCTCCTGGGTGCTGTTCTTTTGGCTGCCTCCCCAGGTGCACCTGCAGCCACCTCCCGCCCTTGAGACGCCGCAGTCCCGGCAGCTCGGAGCGGCGCACGGGTCAGAGCAGGGTCAGTGGGACGGATGTGAGTCTTGGCCTCTCCCTCACAGTGACTCACCTTGTCAGATCGGAAGGGAGAGCCCAGGGGAATTCTCCACAGCCTAAATATAGAGCGGGGTTGCCTGGTGCCTCTGATGCGCTGTGGTGCAGAAAGGCCACTCGGGTGGCAGGGAACTGCCTAGAGACAGCCCAGGGAAACACAGGGAGATCAGGGGCCAGTGACCACTGTGGGTTTTGCTCCAGCTAGTGCAGAGAGCAGGTCTGGGCAGCTGCAGGGCAGCCTGCATGTGCTGCTCTGGAGGACAGGAGGTGCTGGAGAGCTGCTGCTGCTGCTGCTGTGCTGACCACACCATGAGCTGCTTGTGCATTTCTGTCAGTGCCCACCACACTGGCATTGGGATCCCACCACCAGCTCACCCTGTTACGCCTGGCCCTGTTAGGCCTGGCCATGCTATGGCCTCGAGCTCACACGTGCCAAAGGTAAGCACCATGGCCAGGTAGCATGAGGCAGCAGTGGGATCCAGCCCAGCATTCCTCATCCCAGTATCTCTGGGCTTCCAGTGTCTCCTTCCTTGGAGGGAGAAGTGGAGAGGCCCAGCCTGGCCATGCTGTGCCACCCCTCAGTGTGAGCACTGCTGGGAGCAGGGGAAGGTGTCAGGACAGGGCCATCTGTGTCAGATGGGCACAGTTGGGTTGGGTACGGGCAGAACTGGACATTGGCAGGGGCTTCCAGAGTGTTTGGCAGGGAGGCAGCCACCATGCTGAGCTCCATGGGCACCAGCACAGCATGTGCTCTCGGTCCAAGTGTGTGTCACTCACAGTATTAGAGACGTGTCCTTCAGTGCAGGAGCTCCTTTGGGGCCACAGCCCAGCCCCTCTGGGCTCTGGCTCCTTGCACAGCCTGCACAGGGTCTCGAAAGGGCCAGTGCATTTGCCGGTACTGTACCAAGCCAAGATGCAAGAACTCAATGAGTTTTTAAAATTAGTTTTAGTTTCTGCATTTTTTTTTTAATTTTCCCTCTAGGCAGGGAGGGTAAGAGTCTTGCAGGCTCCTCCAAGCCGGCTTATGTCACATCAATTCAGTCATATCACAGAAGCAATAAAGCTATCAAACAAGCTTGGCTGGCCTCTTTCTTCTGCTGCCTTGGGCCTTTTTTATGGGAGGCAGAGGGATTCCCCTGGTTGGGCTGTCCCCTCCCTGGTTTCACTGCTGACTCCTCTGGAACAGTAATCCAGCTGCCAGGAGCTGCAGCTGGCCAATGCCACTGGCCTGGTGCTGGGGACAGGAGAGGTCTGTGCTCCTCCTTGCAGGTGACTTTGAGGGGTAGGAGAGGGGATTTTGGGTTGGGTTTGTTTAATGTTGGAAGGCACAGCCATCAGAGCTTGACCTGCCTGGGACTATGGCTGCTCTCCTGGGGACTCCCTGCCAGCAGGATGTCTTCCTGCCAAGGGTCACAGCAGCAATCGGGCTGGGTGTGGCCCTGACAAAGGCAGGTGTCCAGCCAAGTGACCTTCTCACCACAGTGTCCTGGAAAAGGAAATGGTTTAGGAAGCCAGGGACCGAGGCTGTGTCCAGCTCTCATACCTGCCAAGTCCCAGCTGGAAGAGTGTAACTCCTTAGGCAAGCCCTGGTGATGCCACCAGGCTCCCAGAGCCACAGGATATGTTGGAGACAGTTCCATTGCTTGGAGGCACGGGAAGGCTAATTCCAGGTGGGTGACTGGTCTGCCAGACCTCCCAGCTTCCAAACAAGGGGTGGGTTGTTACTAGCACCAATGGGGCAACAGAGAAGCAACTGCCCAGCCCTCCCTGATGCGTGGTTGCAGGTTTCAGGGAGATGCTGGAGCAGCTCAAATCCTCCTTCCATCCCTCCTCTTTTCCTAGCATTTAAAGAACAGGATCACCACTGCCATCTGGCTGAGCCAGCCCCAGGGATGGCCCATGCCCTGTCCTGGCCGTGGGAGGGCGGAGGAAGAAAAGAGCACAGAGCCTGGGACCAGGGCACACGAGGACGTTCAGGTCAGCTGAGACAAGGAGACTTGTTCAGAGATATCCCTGAAGGAGCCACGTCACTGCTGAGATGGGACACAGCCTGCGTCACAGCTCTCTCCCACGTATGTTTTGTCACACCCAGCCGTGGCCTCGGACAGCAGTCACGACGTGCTCAGTCCTGCCATCTGGCTGGTCTGCATCACCCCCTCCTGCCACTCACAAGGGTGGCACCTTTAGGGACAGATGTCACAGCAGGTCCTGGCTCGGCTCAGCAGGCCTTATTCCAGACCAGACAAGGCACCTGTGACACCCCAGCCCCGGGGGTGCAGGAGCACGGGCTGGCACAGGCAGTGCCCTGGGAAGGTACCAAGCCAGGCAGTGCCAGCAGCAGTCAGGGACCAGGTCACCCCTCTGTCTGGAGACCTGTGGGGCTGGAACCCTGCCCTGCACCCCAGTACCCTATGCAGCCTGAGCCATGCCCAGCACACCCCATGGCAGAGCCAGTACTCATGGGAGCCCAAGAGGGGAGAGCAGTGCTAGGATTGAGGCACATAGCTGGGACATACCATCCCCTGCCACCACGGCTGTGGGAGGACAGGGAGGAGCTGCTGCTGGTAGGACATTAGCTGACAGCAGCTGCAGGCTTCTCGGGACAAGAAGGAAGAGCAGAGGAGAGAGCCAGTGCCTCCAGGTGTCTGGGATAGCAGCCTCGAAGTGGGCACACCTGGAAGAGGACAGAGGCCAGGCTTTGCACAACCACCCCTTCTACATGACTGGGGACACTGGGCTCACCTGTATGGGTGCCCTGGATACCCTGTGCCATGCCCCTGCATACAACCAGCATCACATCCTCAGGACTTCCTGGCTGTGTCCTGGAGGACAAGAAGACCTGCCCAACCTAGGCAAGGTGGGAGGGGATGGGCTAACCCCTCTGCTGAGCCAGCACCCGAGGCTGTCTCCGAGCCCTGAGGGTTATCAGTGGGGGAGGCAGCCCTTCCCTTCATTGGCAGCCCTATCTTCCTGGGCAGCTTCCCTACTATGGGCAAGGCTGTGGCCAGACCCAGCTCCATGGGGACAGCCAGGCAACCTGGAACAGGATATGCCGCTCACATTGAAATTTTCCAAGCAGGCAGCTGCATTAGTCTGTAGCCCTGCAAAGCAGAGGAACCTGTTCCCTGTCACTTGCTCCCAGCTGTTTCTCTGCCCCAGGGATGCACCAGGGCCTCCAAAACTCT